CACTGCTCTACTAGACTATTGTTTAGTTGGTGATGGTGAATCGAGGTGTAGGGTTTGAACTTCTCGTGAATTATTAAGATAAATTATTAGGTTTAATATGTTATTTGTTAAGTTTGAATTAATCATTGAATTTGTATTATGTTAGGGTATTGTAGATAGATAATATAAGTTATGGGCCCTGTGGGCTTATTTATATTTCTTTGTAAGGTAAATAAATGAAATAAATAAATGAAATATTTAACCTTGGTAAAACAAGGTTCTTTATAACACTTATTTTAAATCGGAATACCACCATATTTTTCTTTTATAGAGAGAGTGTCATTTTCGAGGGCAAATGGGAAACATGAATTTTGATGCGATGATATTTACGACGTATTGCATCACACACGAGGAACAATGTCAGAATTGAAGAATAATGATTTGTACTTGCTATAGCTTTAAAGAATAGAAGTGTGGTGTAATGCCACCAAACAAATACTAAATAGAATTTAAGTTATATAAACTAAACTATATAAATATTTAAAATGTTTTGCATATGTGATCTTAACGTTATCTTTGTCATCATATATTATTATTTTTATGATTTCAATGCATTTCGGGAGCAAATTGAAATGCTATATTTTCTTCTTTTATAGGTGTGCGAGTGCATGAGAGTCATAATTTACATTTACATAAATATCAACCAATTCAAATAATATTCATTTGAGGTATTTGTCCGATATTTCGTACCAAATTACTAGTTTATTTTTACTTTTAAAATTTTAAATCCTGAACCGATTTCATTTAATTTGAAAAGTGCAGACAATATATTGGTAAATTTTTCTTAAAAAATTAAGTAATACTTTTCTACATAATAATTAAGGTTTTTAAAAATTACTTTTGAATAACTAGTAAGAAACATTAAGTTCGGTCAGGCGAATTTAAATACCCTCCACCATTATCTAAAGAAACAAATTTGATTCTAATGTGTTACACTTTAAAATACAATTACCAGTGTGGTCTGTTGCAGTTAAAGCTTCCAAAAAACCGTTATTTGTGCACTATAGGAAAACGTAGACCTTCATATTTAATGTTCTGCCACCAAGTTATAGCCCATTATGAACTAGAAATACCAATTTTTAGACAAATCCTTAAAAAATTTGGTTAAAACCATCAAAAGATATCGTTATATGGGGGCTACCCAAAAACGCGAACCTTTATATACAAAGCTCCGCCACTAAAGTTAAAATATGGAGCTATACTATATGGTCCGATATATCTCATTTTCGATACCAATTACCCTAGACACAATACAAACAATTGTGCCAAATAGGGCTGTATCGTTATACGACAGGTAGACAGATGAACATCATTAAATGGAGATAGAATTTTTTGCTGACCATTAATATGTATACTTTATGGTGTCTACGACGAATATTTAGACGTGTTACAAACTGAATGACAAATTTAATTTCTAAGGTGGAGGGTACTTCACAAATTCAAGTATCAATAACTTTTCAATCAAGTACAAACAGAAAATAAGTGAAGCATTAACGCATTTGATGCACACTAAAGTTTAATTCGAAGGAAGCACAAAAACATTTATATATATTCCAAAAAACATTAAATTTCCCTTTAAAATTCAGAATTTATACTGAATGTTGCATTCTTTACTTTTTATCATATTTTAATAAAAAAAAGAGTTAAAAGTACTTTTCTTAGAAGAATTTACTGACTGAATGTTACTGGATCCACGAATTCTGATCTTTTATTTACTTTAATATGTTTATAACTAAGAACCGAGAAATTCTTATTGAAAGTGCGTCGAGCATTCAAAGTATTGGTTTTATTTTAACTATGTTTTATATTAAATTAGCTGAACCGGGCGCGCTTCGCTACTCCTTTCGCTTTTATATGCATTCAAAATTGTATATATGAATATTTGTTGGTTAAAAAAAATAAATAAAACTAATTTAAAAAATATTGTTATACCTATAAACCTAAACTTTGATATGAATGTTGACTTACAACCATGATATGTCAACAAAGGTTTAAAGGTTTTTCAAATGTGGTATTTGATGGTCGTAATAGATACTACAGCCTATGACAGAAAACTGGCCCCACATAACGGTACCTCCAGATGTGCGGTATTTTAATGATTTTAGCGACATTATTCACCGGAATTGTTTCAAATTTGGTATTTGAAGTTCGGAGTGGAAAATACGGCCTATGACAGAGTATAGTTTGTGCAGGTCCAAGTTTTCGTATAGCCACCATATAACGGTGCCTCCCGATATTTCGTATTTTGATGATTTTAGCGACATTATTTACCGGAATTGTTTCAAATTTGGTATTTGAAGTTCGTAATGGATACTACACCCTGTGACAGGAGATTGTCTGTGCAGGTCCACGTCTTCGTATAGCCTCCATATAACGGTACCTCCCTGGCAAGTTCACGCGTTGAAAGACCGAACTTGTCTTATATATATATATATATATATATATATATATATATATATATATATATATATATATATATATATATATATATATATATATATATATATATATATATATATATATATATATATACAGTGGTGGCCATATCATATGCAACTGAAATCTAACCTTTACCAAAAACCGTGAAAATTTTTTCTGAAAACAAAATTATGCAATTATTTTTTTAAATATTATTTTTTATTGCTTGTAGTTTAAGAAAAAAAACATATACTCCATAGATATTCAATTCATTTATAAAAAAAATTAGAAAAAGATATTCAGTCTTATTATTAAGTGGCCAAAACATATGCAACTAATTAAATCGAGCTCAGTAAAGTGCAAATAAAATTAATATTTTGTTGCAAATCCGTTGTTGTCGATTACAGCCTGACATCTTCGAGGCATTGACGCTATAAGATTGTCAATGACGCTTTTTGGGATTGATTTCCAGGCATCTTCCAGCCGGCAAAATAAAAAATCTAAACTTGTACAATTTTCTCGATCAATTTTTTTGTTTACGATTTCCCACAGATTCTCTATTGGGTTTAAATCTGGGGATTGGGGTGGCCATTCCATCACCGCAACTCTATTATCGGCAAACCACGATTTGACCACCTTCGAAGCGTGTTTGGGGTCGTTGTCCTGTTGAAAGACCCACCGCAATGACATATTATATTCTGCGTATGGGAGCATTACCCTTTGCAATATGTCTTTATACATAAATCTATCCATAATACCAACAATTCTGTGCAGTGGGCCAACTCCGGCACCAGAAAAACAACCCCACACCATTATATTGCCCCCCCCCCCCATGCTTGACCGTTTTTTTACAGTAACGTGCTTCGAGTCGTTTTCCTTCTGGTCGCCTTACATAGCACATGCCATCGCTACCAATTATGTTAAATTTGGACTCATCACTAAATAATATAGTTCTCCATTTACTCTCTGTCCAATTTATATGAGCTTTAGCTAATTCCAAACGCTTCTTCTGGTTTCGCTTCGATATCAGTGGTTTTTTTGCAGGACGTCTTGCGCAGAGGGAGGCTTGTAAAAGTCTTCTACGGATGGTGCGAGCAGAAACTGGCAACTGAAATCTTTCCACTATCTTAGAGGAAGATATAAATGGGTCTTTTTTCACGTGTCTGATTATTAATTTGTCCGTCCGATCGCTTGTTTTTCGATTTCGACCACCACGGTGTATAACAGAGACTTGTGAATTTTTTTTTGTAATTATTAATGATGCGCGATATGGAGCTTTTATGAACGGTATATTTCTCGGCAATACATTTCTGTGATAATCCAGAAGGATACGCAGTCACAATTCGTTGTCTGAGCTCAAATCCAAATTTATCGCGTGCCATTTTTGAACAAACTCTGTTTTAGCTTTGTGAAAAAACAACGCAATAAAAATGTGAAGGTAGCTTTAAATCTCTTTACGCAGTGTCTCTAGATAATAATAAGAAGAACAATAGAACAAAGGAAATTGTAAAAATGCCGTTATTTAAACCAAATATATAAAGTTGCATAGAGAACATAGAGATATAAACAAAAGCTGCACATTTTGATAATAATTTGAAATCGTATGAAAGTAGTGACTATAATTAAACCATCTTTATATACTTCGTTGTGAAATTTACAAATTTATATAGCCTTTTAACGTAGATGAATCTTAGTTGCATATGATATGGCCACCACTGTGTATATATATATATATATATATATATATATATATATATATATATATATATATATATATATATATATATATATATATATATATATATATATATATATATATATATATATTTATATTACATGTTTTTTTTCCATTTTGACTTACTATTTTCGAATTAATCGAAATGGAATCGATTTAAAATAAAAATGGAATATTTAAAAAAATATTGTTATTGTTATAGCAAAAGGTCCTTACAAAATTTGTCAATAGAATGTTATATTATTTTGATTATAATTATAATATATATATATAATTATAATATATATATATATATATATATATATATTTTTTTTTTTTTTTTTTTTTTCAAAATTTCAAAATAATATTACATTCTATTGACAAATTTCGTAAGGACCTTTTGCTATAACAATAAAAATATTTTTTTAAATATTCCATTTTTATTTTAAATCGATTCCATTTCGATTAATTCGAAAATAGTAAGTCAAAATGGAAAAAAAACATGTAATATAAAACATTACTATTGTACATTTCAAAAGACAAAATAAAGAATTTTAAATTTCACATTTTTCTCCGATTTTTTTTAAGATTTAATTCTTTTCTGACAACTCCGAATTTGTTTGAGTCGTTAAAAACAGATAAGCGTTTCTTATAAGCGTAGTAACTAACACAGCTTTCTTTTAGATATATAGATATATTTAGATTAAAAGGTAGGCGTGTTTAGTCCCACAGCCGCCAAATAAGTACTTATAAATTATTTTTATTCGAAATGCATTTTTCTTTTTACTGTGTTTTATTGATTTTTAAATTATGTTCTTTGCAATTATAGAGTTCTGCTGTAAATTCGGAATACAATGGAAGATATCCAATACATTATGCTGCAGACTATGGTCAACATGAAGTGCTGGAATATCTTATAAGTATGGGTGCTAAATTAGATGTAAGTCCAATTATTTGATATTTATCTAACTTTTGTTGTTAAAGGACTTCTTTAGGTAGAACTGCACCTTGTTTGGTGGTAAAGTAAATAAGAATCGTCAAGATTAAAAATTCTTAAAATTATATGTTACCATTCGTTACAGGTAAAAGATAAACACGGCATTACTCCGCTTTTAGCAGCAATTTGGGAAGGACATACACAGTGTGTAAAATTACTTCTAGAACGTGTAAGTGGAACAAATAATATATATATATATATATATATATATATATATATATATATATATATATATATATATATATATATATATATATATATATATATATATATATATATATATATATTCTGGATCAGTATTTTTTCATAATTTTAGCGAATTATTTACCGGAATTATTTCAAATATCGAATCGTAACGGGTACTACAGCCTATGACCAAAAATGTTGTATGCAGGTCCAAGTCTTCGTATAGCCCCCATATAACGGTACCTCCCGATACTCCGTATTTTCATGATTTTTGAGACATTATTCACCGTAATTGTAACAAATTTCGTATTTGAAGTTCGTAATGGGCACTACCGCCTATGACAAAAAATTTCGTATGCAGGTACACGTCTTCGTAGTCCCTATGTAACGAATTTCATTTAAGTGGTAGCTTTCGGTTTTTTTTTTTTAAAATTTTCAATTTCCTTTGAGATGGTGGAGGGCATTTAAAGTTTGGCCGGGCTGAACTTAGCTTTTTTTACTCGTTCTAATTCAGTTTTCTTTCACCCAGGAGTACTACCACTCGTTTTTGAGCGAGTACCATTGAACCATATATTCCTCCTTTCGAAAAATTATCACAACTGTTTTAATATTTCGTTATCTACACACATTTTAAAGTATTATTAAAAATGTTTAAGAGTGACCCTGAATTTCCAAGGTGGTAGTAGAACTCAACCCCTTTGCACGATATACTGCAAAAAATTACAAACATAAGGAAGCTCCAAAGTGTTTATTTTTACTACACTTAATTGCTAAAACTTAGTACAATTAAATATTTTTACTGAAAATTCTGCAATCATGATGAAAGGATAGATAAGGAGATCAAAATTCTCCGCTTAAGTTTTCCAAATACCATTACAACATTTAAATATTTGTTTTAAAATATTAAAATTTTAAATATTTACTTCATATTTAAAGATTTTAAATGCAGCATAGCCCGGGGTTTCTTATTGTGACTTGGATGCATTGCAATGCTGGCATACGACGGACAACTAACCGATATCAACGCAGCAAAGATCTTTGTAGGGAATAACGTACTCGAATACAGATCGACTCAACTCTAAGTTTACAACTTGTCTTCTTTTGGTTACATTTTTTTGATTAGTGGTCGTGATAGTGCAGCACGAAACTGAGCAATGTAGCCCGTCTCCATTCATTTATTTCTGCACGTTCCTCTTGCGTTTGAATATCACGGACATTCTGATTAATTAAAAAAATAATATTATCTTAAAAAAATAAAAACATACGGAATGAGTATTTCGCGATAAATATCCACAAGGCAAGGTTTTATTATTTTTACCGAAGCGCAGACCTTAAAAAGACCGTCAAAATCTAACTGACTGTACGTACATTTTGCATTGAATTTATACTTTTTAAAAAAATCCGTCCGTAATGCCCAAATACCTTAGAATCTGTGTGTGTGTGATATCGAAGCCTCACCGTCGTACGGGTTTGGCAGTGACTCACTTTGCTGACAGCGGCATGGGTTCAATTCCAGATCTCAACAATTTTTTCCACATGTTTTTTTTAATATTTTTTATTAATTTATTTTAATCACATTTCCAATGGCCCAAATTTTCGGACAAAATCTAACTGAATTTACATTTTGTATTGGAACTACCCTTTTAAAAGGAACATTAAAAGACATGGCCAAATACTTTGAGATCTCTCACGCCCTCCTACACTGCTTAATATGCCAATGAGTAGTACGCTTCATAAGCTCTCTATAGGTACACATATTGTACCGGCAGAATTGTCCTGGAAGGCATATTGGCCAATGGAGTTATCCTGTTCCAAGGATAACTCCAGAAATGATCATATACCTCGGAATTGGCCGGAACTTTCTATAATTTCCTTAATGCCAATGGATAGTAGACTTCATAAGCTTTCCGTAGGTACCCATATTGTGCCGGCAGAATTGTCCTGGAAGGGATATTGGCCAATGGAGTTATCCTGTTCCAAGGATACCTCCAGAAATGACCATATACCTCGAAATTGGCCGGAACTTTCTATAATTTTCTTAATGCCATAAGCTTTCCATAGGTACCCATATTGTACCGGCAGAATTGTCCTGGAAGGCATATTGGCCAATGGAGTTATCGTGTTCCAAGGATACCTCCGCAAATGACCATATACCTCGGAATTGGCCGGAACTTCCTACAATTTTCTTAATGTCAAAGGATAGTAGACTTCATAAGCTTTCCGTAGGTACCCATATTGCGCCGGCAGAATTGTCCTGGAAGGCATATTGGCCAATGGAGTTATCCTGTTCCAAGGATACCTCCAGAAATGACCATATACCACGAAATGGGCCGGAACTTTCTATAATTTTCTTAATGCCATAAGCTTTCCATAGGTACCCATATTGTACCGGCAGAATTGTCCTAGAAGGCACAGTTTGGTGTAAACTTTTCCTGGCACATAGTATTGTGCTACGAGTTAATGGGTGTATATAGCCTTACAATCTTTGGAATATAATTTAATTATGATTATATAATGCATTTTGTTAGAGTTTTTATACGATAAGTAAATAAAAATCAAAAATATTAACGAAAAAACAATTTTTATGTAGCTCTGTTAACGCTTACATAGCTATGTCATTTTCTCTGTTAAATTCGTGGCTCTAATTAAATTCGGAATTTATCGTAACGGACCTACCGTCGTACGGGTTTGGCAGTAACTCAATTTGCTGACAGCGGCCCGGGTTCAATTCTAGATCCCAACAATTTTTTCCACATTTTTTTTTAATATTTTTTATTAATTTATTTCAATTACATTTCCAGTGGCGCAATTTTTGGGACAAAATCTAGCTAAATTTACATTTTGTATTGGAACTAGCCTTCTAAAAGGAACATTAAAAGACATGGCCAAATACTTTGAAATCTCTCACGCCCTCCTACACTACTTAACATGCCAATGAGTAGTACGCATCTATAGGTACCCATATTGTGCCGGCAGAATTGTCTTGGAAGGGATATTGGCCAATGGATGTATCCTGTTCCAAGGATACCTAGACATGGCCAAATACTTTGAAATCTCTCACGCCCTCCTACACTGCTTAACATGCCAATGAGTAGTACGCATCTATAGGTACCCATATTGTGCCGGCAGAATTGTCTTGGAAGGGATATTGTCCAATGGATATATCCTTTTCCAAGGATACCTCCCTGACCATGTACCTCGGAATTGGCCGGAGCTTCCTATAATTTTCTTAATGCCAGTGAATAGTAGACTTCATAAGCTTTCCATAGGTACCCATATTGTGCCGGCAGAATTGTCCTGGAAGACACAGTTTGGTGTAGACTTGTCCTGCCACATAGTATTGTGCTACGAGTTAATGGGTGTATATAGCCTTACAATCTTTGGAATATAATTTAATTATGATTATATAATGCACTTTGTTAGCGTTTTATACGATAAGCAATTAAAAATAAAAAAATATTAAGGAAGAAACAATTTTTATGTAGCTCTGTTAACGCTAACATCGCTATGGTCCTTAATTATTCGCTTGGTCCTTAATTATTCGTTAAAATGTACGCGCTGCGTTTTACTGAGTAATCAGTTCTTACTTGTTTTGCCGCCTCCTTTAGACATCAAGTAGTATTTTGCTGTCATTCTTACAGCATTTGGCGTCTTACTTCCATCGGCCGAGCCCCTCTGAGCTAAACATTTGGTCCAATCGAACCGGATATTCCAGCCCCATTGGTCGCTTTGGGGAATCAACAAGATACAGTCCATTACACCTGCATTACAAGGTACGTATAGTTCAGTGTTGCTATAGTGAGCTCGGTTTATTAAACTATCGCGACAACAACAATCAGTTTTGTTTAGGTACAAAGGTCGTTTTGAAACGTCACCTCTGTTCCCTCTTGTTTTATTTCCCGCCAATCGTTGGCTTCTAATTTTGATGTTTGCGTTCGGTAGCATCAGAATCAAAACAAAACTTGAAAATAAAATTGTTGCAAAATCGTTGCTAATTTTCTTTTTGTTTTGGTTCATTTAAAAGAACAAAACATTCAATATTTCGTTTCGTTGATACCTTTTGTTGGTATCATCATCATCATAGTTCATCATCATTGCTAGTTCTTAGTTTGGTGTGCTTTACTACCTAATGCAAATATAGCTATATTATTCTTTTTGTTTGGTCTGTCCGCTTTAATATTGCATTGACATTTATTTTGTGTCTTGTCGTGCTTTGTTAGATCAGTGAACGAACATAAAAAACGAAGGAATAATATTTTTGTTTATTTCTCTTTTTTCATGGCCGTTTAGGTTGAGTAGCTACACTACGTTTGTCGATCACTCTGTTTATTATATTAGTTGGTATTGGGTGTAAAATTATTGTAATTATTAAAGTTAAAATAATATAAATACTATAGTGTATTTAATTTCTGTTGTTGTTTTCGATCTTTTACATTTTGACAAATGATAATAAAATTGTTATTTTATTTATTTTTCCATTTTCCCCAGATTGGTTCGGTGTTTCTTTATTTAATTATGGCTTTCACTCCTTTACAAACATTCACTAGAGCATTGGACGCTATGAAAAAATTTAGTGCATAAATAGGTGCAATAGAAGATAATAATTTAGATATTAGTTTTTAGAGGAAAGGAAGAACAAGTTAGAAAGACTATGGCAATCGGTAAATAAATCGTTGCGAAACTTCGAAAATTGGGAAAATGTCATTAAGAAATATCTTCGTTTGGCAGAGAAAAATGTAGTGATTCCATCAACATTTATTCAAGTACAATAGCAACAAATAATAGAAAACATAACAAAAAATTCAAATTAAAATGCGGATGAATCTCATGAGGAATCGTCTCAATCTGTTTTGGTTCCTGAATCGAAGGAAAAAATTACCGCAAATAATTCAACTGGATGTGATATAGTTTACAATATGGCATTGTCCCCAATTGATACTGGTATTTTTGAGAGAGATTTTTTTTCTTGGTCTTCTTTTCGGGATTTTTTTAGCGCCATTTACATAAATAACTCCCTGTTGAGTGATGTCGAACGTATGTTCTATTTGCTCAATAAAACGTTGTAGAAGCTCGGGAATAGTTTCACAGTTTCCATTAACCGATCGAGGCTTCGTTATGGCTTAGAATGTACTCAATAATGAGCTTGACAATACTCCTATTTTGGTAAATCGTCAGTTGTCTTCGTTATATAGACTTCCAATTCTCGATAAGGAAACAATCTTTGGTTTGAAAGAGATTAGATTTGGAATTAATCGTTGTATCTCCTCTATGTCGACTTATAACTTTTCCACAGACCAATGAAATCCGATACTTGTCTTTATTTCTCTACAATGTATGCCGAAAGAAAAGGATAAACAGGGTCGTGTGTTTGGAAAGTTATACAGACAAATAAATTCCTTTGCATAGGAAGTCCAATTTTAAATGATCATCTTCCCCTTCAATTGGAAAATCATGTTCGCTTTGTCGAGAAAAAAACCTCGGCTTCATTTGTGTTCAAAATTTAAGGAACTATCCCCCTCAAATAGGTTTGTATTCGTAAAGCGCCACGACCATTGCATAAATTGTTTTGTAAAGGGACATAAACTAGTAAATTGAACTAGTCAGAATAGTTGTTTGAAATGTGGTCATCGTCATTACAAGTAATTACATGGAGAGTTATTAAAACCGAGTAGATCGATTCTGACTTCCAAGGCTTCGTTAAGCTCCCCAATATTTGTTGTCAGCTTCATTTCCAGTTTCTCGTCCCTTGAAATGTACACCCTCCACATCGGTTGGAGTCCAAAAAACAAAATCGGAATTGGTTTATTCAAAATCACCTTCGCGTGCCATTGGCACTTCAGATTTATGAAGAACAATAAAGCTCGAACACCAATTGACAGAAAAAACCTGGGATCAACGAAGCATTACAAATATATTTTAGAGGAGATATAGTTCATGCGCATATGTTTTAAAATGAAAGACGGTACGCAACTGGACACGACGAGTTTGAACATTTCAGTGACAGTGAACCATTTTAAACTGGTTAAGTTTATTAATACAATAAGATAATTAACACCATCACTAGAATATCTGTAATATGTATTTTGAAAAAAGTCTGCGAACATGCCTGCTATTTCTTTAGGTCCACATGATTCTCTACTGCCGTATCTCAATCTACTACGAGAAAATTCGCGGACTTTCCGTTTTGAATTAACGAATTTGTAAAAGTTTTTAGGTTTTTTTTTATTAAGGATGTTCCTCATCTTAACTAGTTATTCGCAGTAGCATTTGAAATTATCAGTATTGTAAATATTTTAGCTTTTTTATAATTAGTAAAGTTTATAATAGAGTTAATTTGTTTTGATTGTTTATATAATCTGCTTTTTAATGAAACGTAAGCGCCGTAAACCAAGCGGCGTAAACCAAGCTGGACCTACATCTCATTACAATTTCACGAGTTTGACAGAGGTTTTTAATGCATTATTAACTCTTTTATAAAAGCTTGAAATACAAAAATCAAGGTTACCTTCAAAAACAATTTATATTGGATAATATAGAACGCAGCAGATCAACGTTAGTCTTTCCAAAGTTTTGCTTACGAGATTTAGTTTGAAATGTAGTATGTAAAGTTTGAATATTACTAAGTTCAATGGTCATCATAAGAGTAGGATACATATCCTTTGTATCGGAGAAGAGACGATTTCTACACACAGAAGAAGTTACGGCTTAAGAAAAAAAATTGATCCAATATTTTGCCTTTTGCATTATAGACAGAATTTATTTGATAAATACATTGATCAAATATGCTTTCCCAAAAAGATGACATCTCAACAGACAATTCAGTAGAAAAATCTTGTACATAATTTACAATATTTTCTCCTGGGACCAATGCTAGATAAATTCTTTTACAAAAAATCCTTAAGGCCAGAAAGTTTTAATAACTATTGAATTAAATAATTTAGCAGGAGTTAAGATTTTAAAAGATAAAATCTCATGCGATTGGGATGCATTAAAATAAAAAATCTTAATGTTATTATCAGATATATTTGGCAATTTTGTTTTTAGGTAAGATCGAATGTTATCAACCGTTTTATCTGGATGTAATCGGGACACAAATATAGTCTGCGCGGCGCGACAGAAATAAGATGATCACTAAGCAAAGGTATAGGGATTATGTCGTTAATGTCTACAGAAACACACTTTTTATTAATACCGGAAGTATCAGCAGAAACAGATTGATTTCTAAAAAACGGTATATTTTTATCTGTATCGGTAGGAACAGATTTTGTTTTATTAGCCGCTCACACTGCACTATACAACCCGTACCTACTATTGGAACTAAATTAGATTAGGTTTAATTGTGTTGAAACATGCTTTGATGTTTCAAGGGGCTCGACAAGTTTAATTTATGATTACATTAAATATTGCTTTTGATGGTTTGTTACTCAATTATTCGTTAAAAAGTACGCGCTGCGGTTTATTGCAACCTTGTGCTGGCGCCTTTGATATTTTAATCAGTAATCGTTTGTCACTTGTTTTGCCGCCTCCTTTAGACATTAAGTAATATTTCGCTGTTATTCGGACAGACTACACCCTCAATATCGTTTGCAAAGCACATTTCGTGGTGCATAGAAAGGTATGTCGTTGCTAAATGTAATATCGTTACCACCAACCAAACTAACAAAAAATCGTTCAATTTTTGTCTAAGAAAACTCTTGTGTTTTATTTATCTTTTTATACTTCACCCACTGTCCACTGTTCGACGCATTCGGCGTTTCACGCCCATCGGCGGAGTCCCTCTGAGCTAAACACATTTTATTTATTTTTTTTTTTTAATTTAAAGACATTCCATAACACTACACTAATTTGCAAGGAAATACAAGTCATGTTGCAGATTAAGTGATTGGTTGTGGGAATTAAGAGTACAGAAAAGTTTAACATCTTCAACAAACATTAATATTTTGGAGTGGCGAAAAATTGATAGAACGTCGTTTAAATAAAGTACGAAATCTAACGGAACAAAATGGTTACCTTGAGGAATACCAGAAAATACTGTAATATTTTTAGGGAGGTTATTGTTAAAAGAAACCTTTTGGGTGTGGCCATGCAAATCAGATGATATTAAAAGAGTTGAAGAGAAGGCTATTGAATCAAGTTTATATATTAATAAATTATGCACAATTGTATCAAAAGTTTTACTAAAATCAGTATATGTATTATCAGTTTGGAGTTTTTTTGAGAATCCGGTGTGAACATGACTGACCAATTTCAATAAATTTGTCAAAGTCGATCTTCCTATAGATACTATAGATATAAGAAAATGAAATTCTTTGTGTAACCAAACGCTCAAAAATTTGGGAATTGCAATCAATTTTGCAATAACTCTGTAATTCCCAATAACACATCTACTGTCAGATTTATACGGAACAATAAAGCTCGATCACCAATTGACTGAAAAAAACCTAGGGTCAACGAAGCATTAAAAATACATTTTAGAGGATAAAAGGTTCATGCGCACATGTTTTAAAATGAAGGACGGTACGCAACTGGACACAATGAGTTGGAACATTTCAGTGACAGTAAACCATTGAAACTTCATATGTTGTGAGAACGATACGTGGAAACTGATAAACTTTAGTAGAATATCGTATTTTGGAAAAAGTCTGCAAACATGCCTTCTATTTCTTTAGGTCCACATGATTCTCTTCTGCCGTATATCAATCTACTACGAAGAAATTCGCGGACTTTTCGTTTTGAATTAACGAATTTGTAAAAGTTTTTAGGATTTTTATGAAATATGTTTCTCATATTGACTAGTTATTCGCAGTAGCATTGGGAATTTTCAGTGTTGTAAATAATTCTAACTTTTTATAATTAGTAAATTTTATAGTAGAGTTCATTTGTTTTAATTGTTTATATAATCTGCTTCTTAAAGAAACGTAAGCGCCTAAGATGTGGCGTAAACCAAGCTGGACCCATATCTCATCACAATTTCACGAGTTTGACAGAAGTTTTTAATGCATTATTAACTCTTTTATAAAAGCTTGAAATACAAAAATCAATGTTACCTTCAAAACCCCAATTTTTATTGGATAATATAGAACGCAGCAGATCATCGTTAGTCTTTCCAAAGTTTTGCTTACGAGATTTAGTTTGAAATGTAGTATGTAAAGTTTGAATATTACTAAGTTCAATGGTCATCATAAGAGTAGGATACATACCCTTTGGCTCGGAGAAGAGAGGATTTCTACACATAGAAGAAGTTACGGTTTAAGAAAAAAATTAATATAATATTTTGCCTTTTGCATTATAGGCAGAATTTATTTGATAAATACATTGATCAAATATGCTTTCTCAAAAAGATGACATCTCAGCAGACACTTCAGTAGAAGAATCTGGTACATAGTCTACAATATTTTCTCCTGGGACCCATGCTAGATCAGTTAGATTGAAATCCCCAAGACAAATCATTGCAGCGTTTGAAGAATGATATAATGACACTTCTCTTTTTAACGCCGATTTGGAGCAATTAAGATATCTTAATTTACACAAACAAATACAATATAAGAGTATTCTGTAACGAATATACGTTCTGAGGCAATTGAATTATGAATGGCAAAGAAAATCCGTCCACTAATTTTATTTAATGTCTTTTCTGTAAATTTGATACTGATCGGATAAAATCTCAGGTTTTAGCCATGTCTCTGTGAAGACAAAAATTTTGAAATCGCAGTCAAAGGATTTTAAATAAATGTTTCTAAGCTTGGTATTAAGACCTCTTACGTTTTGATAGAGAATGGATAATGATTTAGTTATTTTTTTGACAACGGTACAACTGAAAGACTAACCGGAAAATTAACTGGGGTTGTTCCTTTCCTGAATACAATTTTTTTTGCTAAAAATCCTTAAGGCCAGAAAGTTTTAATAACTATTGAATTAAATAATTTAGCATTAGTTAAGATTTTAAAAGATAAAATATCATGGGGTTGGGACGCATTTAGTTTTTAGGTAAGATCGAATGTTATCAACCGTGGTATCTGTATGTAATCGGGACAGTAATATAGTCTTGCGCGGCGCTACAGCAATAAGTTGATCACTAAGCAAAGTCATTGGGATTACGTTGTTAATGTCTGCAGAAACACACATTTTATTAATACCGGAAGTATCTGTAGAAACAGATTGATTTCTAAAAACGGTATATTTTTTTTTCTTTATCTGTAAGAACAGATTTTGTTTCATTAGCCGATTTAGGCTTGATCAAAATAGATGGATTGTTAGATACTGCTGTAACAGATGCTTCATTCAATGGTTTCGTAGAAGGCAGAGAAGATAACGCTTGCTTATTAGAGTTGTCGGTAGAAATTGGAGGATTAGTATAAGTACTTGTACTGGATGAGTTATCAACAATTGCGGGCACTGAAAATTGAGAAGCTGTAGATACGATTTTGGAAGATTAAATTTCGACTGGAGCATTTTCAGAAGCAATCCCCATAGTTCTATAGTCAATAGAGGTTAGGATGTCCGAGTCGAGATATGGCTGCATTATTTGGCTGAGCCACAGCTGGTGAGCTTAAACGGATCAAATCTACACTTGGGTACAAAGACTGATGATTTCTTTCGTTTCGGAGATCCATATAAAAGTTTATATTTATTAAACTTTTTTGGAAGTTTTAAAAATGTTGCGTCGAAATTCTTCTTCAAAGCAGCAAATTTAATTTTAGATTCCTTGAAATGACTATTAAAGATAATTTCCAATGGCCTAAATTAAAATCATTTGCAGTAACTGCCTAAAAGTATGCTAAGGAAAGCCAATTTAATACGTACGGAACAGCAAAAAAGAATCAGCCACAAACGTCAAAAACAAGGAAAAAAACACTACGTTATATATAACAAAACAGGAAAGAAATAACAATGACTATGTGCACAATATTAAATTTAGTAAAAACCGTATAAGAACTCATTTTACTAAAACTCCGAACTTTTGGAAATTATGAAATATGTTTAGTTGAAGAATCTAAATAGTTATTAAAAACACAATAACTGCGAACGATTAATTATTATTTAAATTTGTTTGGCAACACGCGGAAAAAACACTTCTATGCGATCAGGGTTACCATACTTAATTGAGGAGTTTAAGTGAAGTGTTGTACCTAAAGCAGCTTTTGGTGTACTCATAAATACACCTGCGATCCATACTGACGCGGCTATTTGAGCTTTACCAAAGCGGTTGTAGTAGCGAATCTATATTAAAATAACTACACTTGTTTTATATTTTATACTGCTTGTGTAGATGAGTGGAAACAAAAACAAACCACAAATGTACTCTGAAGAATGACGCAATATAGGAAACGAAACAGTGGAACTCATTATAAATTATGAAAAAGCTAATATTAAGATAAATGCATACGTTTTTATTCATTTTTTTTTTGTACATCATAGAATTTCAAAATGTACTAAAAACAATATTTACAATAAAAGCTCTTAATACAGCTACATTAAGGCTATCGAATTCTTTGTGTATTTCTGGTATTGAAATATGCGTAGTTTTGTTTTCAATTCCTTTTTTTTACAGTTTGTGAATTTGTGTGAGTCGTACGTTATTCGTTCCATTTTTTCTTACGCTGAACGTAACTCCTCCTAGCTTTTGAGGTGAGAATTCAAGGAGTTTACGTTTCCTCATGAAGCGAAAACTATTCATGGTTTAAATCTGAAATGGTTGGCACTACCTGAAATAAGACCAAATTTCCCAGCAGAGGCAGCGCCTCGCCGTACTAACCCTAATAACCCCGGTGAGCATAAGCGGAAAAAGTGGCTGGATCATCTGCAGCATTGCAACACCAGTACCGAATCGAGTAAATTGTGGGCAACAGTTAAGTCGCTCTCGAACTCTGGAAAAAAGGATGATCGGACATCAGTCTCATTTAACGGCGTAGAAGTGACAGATCCGAAGAGTGTGCGTGTTATTTCAACCGGCAATTCATAGAGCACCCAGAGAGTGACGGAGCTTTTACTTTTGTCACTAGCAAAGACGCTTGGGGCTATACTCCTCCCCAGCATAAGAGAGTGTTTCCCAGTAGCGGATCATCAACACGGATTCCGAAAATTGCATAGCACAACAACAGCTTTACACGCCATTTCCACACATGTCAGCAGAGGACTCTACCAAAACAGGTCGTGTGACAGAACAGTTATGGTGGCACTGTATTTATCAAAAGCTTTTGATACAGTCAGTCATGCCACACTGTTCGAGGACTTTGAACGCACCGCCCTCTGGCCAAGGAGGTACGCCAGTCGTACGTGGAATTCAGAAACAAGAAGACGAGCTTCCGTAGAGTGAAACAGGGAGTTCCCCAAGGTGGGGTGATATCTCCGTAACTGTTTAACCTCTACCGTTCTGACATTCCACGCCCTCCAGACGGCATAGACGTGGCGTCCGGACCCATCATAGATGACATATGTGATCGGTTAAATGCTTACTAAGTTGATCTAACCGCCTTTTTCACTGTGAGGAATATGAAGATATCCGCCACTAAATCGACGGCTACACTTTTCACCACATGGAATGCGGAGATGAGGCTATCTTTGATTGTGCAGGTCGATGTAGTTCTAATTCCGACCACCAAGTACACCAAGGTCTTAAGTCAATGCTACCGACAGAGCTATCCGAATCACCATCTGGTTGATAGGCAACCTCTGCCCAGGCACCTAAGGAAATACCTTCATGATGTAGAGAGAGAGAGGTACAAAGGTATAAGAGCAAAGGTATATAAGCGGGACTGAATAGTATTCACTCACTTCACATGGCGATGGCGCTACACCGAGGTTACCTGGGTCGATAGTCTTGTTGAAGGTGATTTCTTTCCGACATTTTCCATGATCGTCTTCGGTTCCAGCTTCTTTGCATTGCGACTACTGCGCTTGCAAAGAAGAATCACTCATCAGCCGGAACGCCGCTGACCGCCAGGAAACCCGCATACGGGATGGGCTTCTTTTTGATGATATCAGTTGGGAGAATAAGAGGATCTAAAGCAATTTTTTGCAGTATTCTATTGAACTCTCAAAACCCCCTTCATCTCCATTGTGTTCACGCCTTCGTGGGTTCTTTACCAGTTATATTAACTACCTCGATGACGTCTGGCCGTTGGAGGATCATCAAGTCGGCTCCGAATGTGAACATATATAGACACGGTTCTTCCCCCGGATGTAGAGACTTGTACGAACTAGAAACAAAAATATTACACTATATTATACTATACTTCATTTTATTGTTATAAATAAATTTATTAGTATTTAATAACAGTTTTCTTCTTTTAAATATCCCCAAATATTTGTCGAATATCAACATAACGATGTCTGATATTTGTCGTAGGGGTTTGAAAATTGGCATAATAATTTGCATTGTGTCTAGGATAACTGGTTTTAAAAATTAGGTATATCGGTATTGTTGTAATTTAGTTTATAAACTGTATACGAGATTGGGAACATAACTTCACTGAAATGAAATTTTTATTTTTTATTTATTTTAATTTTACCTTTAATGTCTTTTTGTACAATCATATGAATATTTACCAACAACTAACTTTTATTATTCTTGAAAAAATTATGCTAAACTCTTTTATTTTAGGGTGCGGATAAAAATGGTAAAACTCCAGATGGAAAAAGCTATACAGAAGCTGCAGAAAAAGATGAGATCCGAAACCTGCTACGATGAACAATTTAAAGAAGTTTATATTTTAACACAGATTTATTCTATTGCAGATAATTTATAAAAGTAAACACTGACGACCAACTTTTTTGGAATACATTAATTTTGCTACATCATGTCGAAAGCACTGCACCAATAAATTCTTAACTATTTTCAGTGTAGTTACGACAAAACTACATGCAATGTCATGTTTATTTTAGATGTTATTATATTATGGTCTTATATAATATATATAATTTGCTGAGACTTCTTCTTGATTACATTTTTTAACAAGGGGTTACATTTAATAAATAGCAATATAATAAAAACGAACATTGGAACATATTCAACCCACACTTTAATTCGATTGAGCTCAAGTGTACATAAAGCAGCGATCGATACAGAGAGCCAAATAATGCTAAAAAGTGTCGCCGTTGCAAACCAATTGTACGAGAGCGAAAAAATGCTAGTTATACCCTCCACCTTGAAATAGAGGGTATATTAACTTTGTCATTCCGTTTGTAACATATAAAGTATATATATTCATGATCACCATAAAATTCTTAGTCGATTTATTAATGTCCGTCTCTCTGTTGAAATCACGATACAGCCCACACTATTTGACGTAGAGCTTCAAAATTCGGCAGAACAATTTGTATTGATGGTGATGGTTGGTATTGAAAATGAGATATATCGGTCCACGTTTTGGTATTGCCGCCATATGACGGTACCCCGCAATATTCATTATTTTGATGTTTTTTGACACATATTTCCATGCATTTGTCTAAAAAATGGTATATGTGCGTCACAATGGGTTTTAGTTTCACTAGCGGAACATTGCATGTATAGATTCACGTTTTCGTATAGCCCCCATATAACAATACCCCCTGATATTCGGTATTTTGATTATTTTCGCCATATTTTTCTACGGATTTGTCTAAAACTTGATACATGTAGGTCATAATGGGTTCTGGCTCCGTTAGCGGAACATTATATGGGTATGTCCACGTTTTCGTTTGGCCCCATATAACGGTACCTCCCGATATTTGGTATTTTTATGATTTTTGTCACATTATTCACGGATTTCTCTAAAACTTGGTATTTGTAGTTCTTAATAGGTTTTCGCTGTATTGGTAGAACATAGAATATCTAGCTTTTTGTTTTCCGGCATATAATGGTACCCACTGATATTCGTTATTTTGATAATCGTTGTCACATTTATTTACGGAATTTAACACTTCCATTAAACAACAATCCATGTAGTATAAAGTTGTGTAAATGGGCACCCTCTTTGGTATGGCTCCCCATATAATGGACTCACTCACATTATCCTTTTTAAGTTTAACTGCATTATCCAAACGGTCTTACTAGTATTTTTCATACGCTGAACATAACTCCTCCTAGCATTTGAGGTGAGAATTCAAGGAGTTCACGTTTCCTCATGAAGCGGAAACTATTCATGGTTTAAATCTGAAATGGTTGGCACTAGCGTGAAGTCAGGGCTAGACATATTAATAACAAATTATATTGGAAAACGACGGGAGGATTGTAGTATGGCTCTGTAATCCCTCTTTGAAATGTCACAAAATATGCCTAGACATGACTTCAAACTTCTTATGTACTTACACTTTAAGATCAACGATATTGTAAGCTTCATGAGGCGGAAGAACATCAAGGTAGCAAGGATCCAGGAAACGAAGCTGAGTACCACCTCCAGGCTTCAAAGTTGTGATGGATACAACGTATAGTGAAAGGATCGCATCAGAGATGGATGTGGAGGACTAGCATTCCTATTGCACCACTCTGTCCAGTACATACCTATCTCGCCTGAACTTGACTCTAGTGACCCGTACATGAAATGTATGTCTAGTGTGGAACATTCCGCCGTTAAATAGCTTTGCCCCACGTTATATGCCCAATATCAGTTCAATTCTGGTAGGCAATAACCGTCTGGTGCTAGGGGATTTCAATGCCCATCATGAAATATGGCATTACGTCCTAGGTAATGACCAGAGAGGCATTGTGCTGGCTGAGCAAATCGATAGCTCCACGTTTTTCACAGTGAATGAAGGACGCGCCCACCATAAAAAGGGCAGACTTCCACAGTTCGTCGAGCATATCAATCGAACGAACGAATGACGTAATGTGGGTCATACCACCTCCCCATTTTTGTCGCTTTCAACAGATCACCCGATTTCATAGACTCTGAACGCCGCACTTTTCTTGACCACGGGAAAGCCAACTGGCAAGAATTCAAAGAATATACCAACCGCCGCTTCAGAGAAATGCCCAACCTATCTGATGTCCACGTAGCAGATAGGTGTTTCCGGGGCACCAAAGCTGAAGCCGCTCCCTATATACCTGCTGGTCGAATACCTGAAATAAGACCAAATTTCTCAGCAGAGGCAGCGAGATGAGCTTCGCCGTACTAACCCTAATAACCCCGGTGAGCATAAGCGGAAAAAGTGGCTAAAACATCTGCAACATTGCAACATCAGTACCGGGTCGAGAAAATTGTGGGCAACGGTTAAGTCGCTCTCGAACTCTGTAAAAAAGGATGATCGGACATCTGTCTCATTTAACGGCGTAGAAGTGACAGATCCGAAGAGTCACGGAGCTAAGAATGAAATACAACGCCGTGTACGATCTCTTCTAGTCGAGGCTTTTGTCGCCAGTAGCAAAGACGCTTGGGGCTTTACTCCTCCGCAGCATAAAAGAGTGTTTCCCAGTAGCGGATCATCAATACGGATTCCGAAAATTGCATAGCACAACAACAGCTTTACACGCCATTTCCACACATGACAGCATAGGAGTCTACCAAAACAGGTCGTGTGACAGAACAGTTATGGTGGCACTGGATTTATCAAAAGCTTTTGATACAGTCAATCATGCCACACTGTTCGATGACATTGAACGCACCACCCCCCGGCCAAGGAGGTACGCCAGTCGTACGTGGTCGGTTAAATGCTTACTAAGTTGATCTAACCGCCTTTTTCATTGCGAGGAGTATGAAGATGTCCGCCACTAAATCGACGGCCACACTTTTCACCACATGGAATGCGGAGATGAGGCTATCTTTGATTGTTCAGGTCGATGGAGTTCTAATTCCGACCACCAAGTACACCAAGGTTTTAGGGGTCACATTCGATAGCCTTTTCAAGTCGTCCGCGCAAACCACAGCTGCGGTAAGATTAGTAGTAGGAACAAGGCTCTCATAAGAAAAACTTGTTGACCTCTTACAACACGATAGGCCGGTCTGTGCTACGCCAACGTTAGTGCTATGTAGTGGAAAAATATTCAGTCCTGCCAGAATGCCGCCCTTAGAACCACAACAGGGTGCCTCCTCATGACACCTGTCGACCATCTACATGAGGAGAAGAAGGTCTTACGGTGCGACAGCATAATAAAATGCTGTCAATGCAATACCTACACCGAGGTTATCTGGGTCGATAGTCTTGTTGAAGGTGATTTCTTTCCGGCACTTTCCATGATCGTCTTCGGTTCCAGCTTCTTTGCATTGCGACTTCTGCGCTTTTTTGAGGAAAGTTACTCTCCGCGGGGCTGCACTTGATTCCACTGCTCGTATGAAAGTGGGAAATTCGAAAAGAATCACTCATCAGCCGGAACGCCGCTGACCGCCAGGAAACCCGCATACGGGATGGGCTTCTTTGTGATGATATCAGTTGGGAGAATAAGAGCATCTAGAGCAATTTTTTGCAGTATTCTATTGACCTCTCAAAACCCCCTTCACCACCATTGTGTTGACGCCGTCGTGGACGACAGATAGGTTCTTTACCAGTTATATTACCTACCTCGATGACGTCTGGCCGTTGGAGGATCATTAAGTCGGCTCCGAACGGGAACATACATAGACTCTGTTCTTCCCCCGGATGTAGAGACTTGTACGAACAAGAAACAAAAATATTACACAATATTATACTATACTTCATTTTATTGTTATAAATAAATTTATTAACATTTGTATTTAATAACAGTTTTCTGCTTTTAAATATTCCCAAATATTCGTCGAATATCAACGATGTCTGATATTTGTCGTAGGGTTTGAAAATTGGCATAATAATTTGCATTGTGTCTAGGATAACTGGTTTTAAAATTAAGGTATATCGGTATTGTTGTGATTTAGTTTGTAAACTGTATACCAGATTAGGAACATAACTTCACTGAAATTTAATTTTTTATTTATTTTAATGTCTTTGTAATGTCTTGTAATGTCTTTTTGTACAATCATATGAATATTTACCAACAACGAACTTTTATTATTCTTGAAAAAAATATGCTAAACTCTTTTATTTTACGGCGCTGGAAAAAGCTATACAGAAGCTGCAGAATAAGATGAGATCCGAAACCTGCTACGATGAACAATTTAAAGAAGTTTATATTTTAAAACAGATTTATTCTATTGCAGATAATTTCTAAAAATAAACATTGATGACCAACTTTTTTGGAATACAATAATTTTGTTACATCATGTCGAAAACATTGCACCAATAAATTCTTAACTGTTTTCAGTGTAGTTACGACAAAACTACATGCAATGCCATGTTTATTTTAGATGTTACTAGCTGGCCCGGTCCGCGTTGCTGGCCCGTGGTTTAAGTCTTTAATGCATAGTGTTTAAAGCATCATCATTTTCAGCCAGAGGTTTTAATTTGAGAGTCTAAAACCTAAAACAAATAGATCATATGTATTAAAATTAACTGTTTTTTTAATAGCCACTCTACCCCCAAATTAGCCTAAACACACATTTTAAGCCAAATCGATTCGAAAATATAATCTAAAAAATTTCCGCGAAGAGGTCTTCTACCCCCTTAGAAGCTAAGATGCCAAATAAGGGTAAAATCAATTGAAAAATGGGACCAAGTCGCTGGAAATAGCGGAAATCAGCGGATGCCTTCATATAAAGGTTATACCAAAGCATAGTCCTATTCTTATAATTATTATTATTGAGGAATTTGAAAAGGGCTACATCATTTGAGGGACTACATCAATTTAGACCGACCTGACACATATTTTGTACAACTGATTCTTCATGACACCCTGAACTGTATCAAATTTAAAACTCTATCGTAACTTTTGTGAAGTATAGAGCAAAACATTTGAGGCCCTTTGTGTTTGGTTAAGCTATATAAAATGGACCCTAAAAACGTTTGACCCGATTTTTTTAGGGATTTTTATC